AACAGCAAAGATCAATCCGGTGATCAACATAATCAATTATGTTTTTAATAATTGTTTTATAACATCAAGAAGAATAAACTTTATCGAGTAAAACATTAAATTCCAATTCAAATTTTAAAACTTATGATAGTTTCTCACAATATCATAATTTTTCAGATTGGCATAACCGATGCACTTTTTCGGCACTTTTGTATTGGTCATATGCGCTGTTTTCGCAGCGCAAGCATGCCTTCCACAGGCACGTTTGGTGCCAGGACCGCCAGGACAGGATGGGAATGATGGAGAAGACGGACCGCCGGGACCCCGAGGAGACCCTGGACCTCGAGGAGTAAAGGGGCCGGTTGGAGATCAAGGAAAACGAGGACCAAAAGGCGCCCCAGGTCCACCGGGAGAGCAAGGACCAGCAGGTGAAGAAGGACCGAAAGGCATAGTGGGACCAATGGGTGGGGGAGGATAGTAATGGAATTTGTCATAAATAACGAAGCAACGGCTTTCCTATTCAGCGATACATCGTTGATGTGTCCTTCCAATTATCTTACAAACCTCAAATCGCCATCCGTCCTTCCTTAGCATTACCTTTGAATTTTATGAAAAAAAGTTCATAACATATTTGATGCAGCGAGCAGGGAAATGTCAACCACCATTATATTCACTTTTTTCTAAAAGTGAATGTTGCTCATTTAAATATTATTTCTGTTTACTTTTTGACTGTATTTGCCTTTTTTCATAGAATGTATCATAGCAATGTTTAAAATAAAATGACTCGTTTATTTATATATTCCTTTTTTTTTTACTTATGAACTTTAACAAAGTCAACGAGCAATTTTAATCGATTCTCATTAATTGTAAACTTCACCAAAAATAACATTGCATTGTTTTAAACGAAAATTTTGATTGGATGATTTGTGATTTACATCGCAAAATAAATAAAAAGACTTCATTTAATTTGGAGAGAGTTAATTAAATTAGCTAATTCTGCTTCTCAATGAACTTACAGATAAATAAATTCTCATCCCCAATCGACTTATTCTCATACAATTTTGCTAACCTTTCATAATTTTTCATAAATAAATAGCAAATATTGTTTCTTTTAGCAAATTTCATTACGATATGCATAATAAATACAATCTTTGTGGAGAAAGTTGTCGGTGCAAATTCTCGATAGAAAAGTGATTAATAATTCGGTTTGAATAATTAGAAACAATATAAAAAAAATAAACTCTATAAAAATGGATGTGTTGATTAATGATTTTTAAAATGTATGTATTTTATCAAATCTAAATTTTACTATTTATTTAATGCGTTGCTTTGTTTTTATGGTTAAATATCGGACAAAATTTTTAGTGGAACGATTAGCGTTATCTTAAAACGGTACATTTTTTGATCAGTTTGTAGAATTTTTTTGATCTGTGCTTAACTATTTCTTATCAACAATGGCTCATTAATATTATGTCTTTTTCAAGTTTTTATAAATATAATTTTGTTCCTGTATTTGCATTAAATATTGCTATTATTATTCCGAAAAAAATAATTTGTTATAATATGAAATTGATGAATGGAACACAAGTTTTCCATCATGTTTATTTATGTTTAAATTAATTTTCTTTAATTATAATCTATAGATCTATAGAAATTCTGTCTTCAACATGTCCTTCTGTGGCATGATGTCATCCTACGTTGCAATATTTGGGCTGATAAACAGATTATCAGTATATCGGAAGAGACTTTTTACAAACTTTGTCCGGCAGGAATTATATCAAAATCATTGTAACATAAAAAATTGTAATGATAATTGTATTGAAAGAAAAACAGTTTATTGTCTCTTTTTTTGAATATTTATGTCTCAGCGCTAAAAGTACTTTTTCTGGAAAAATAGTCCGTCAGTAATTGCCAGTAATAATTTATGCCGGAAGTCTGAAATAACTTCATAACTATACAAAATTACTGCATAATTAGAGTATCTTTGTGTTATTGATACTTATATTGAAGGAATTGTTCAGTCAAAGGATAAAATAATCCTCGTTTATTGCTTTGATATACGATTCCAAGAATACCGTCAATGATTATTATCAGATGATTATTGTCTTTGAAAGAAAGATATGCTTTGTTTATACGATTTGAAGATTACCATCAATGATTATTATTAGATGATTCATAATCCTTTGTTTATCGATACCGTCAATTTCCTCTAAATGATCCAGAAACAATGCTCACCGATCACCCAACTCGAGACGAATATATAGCATTTCACCCACTACTTCGGACATTAACAGATCAATCTCGAACAATCTCGAATTATTC